TGGGCTGCGCGCCGAAAGGCGGAGACAGGAAGTTAGCGCGCCTCTGGGTAGCGCCTTGGCTGCGCGGGGAGGCAGTGGAGCCCGGGGGTTCGCAGCTCACGGGGCTAACGTTACACAGCCTTGGAGCTCCTGCAGCAGAATAGGCCAGGTTTGGTTCTCGATCAGCCTCAGAGTAAGTGTCGCTCCGGGTCGAACTGTGAGACCTCTCCCCCGACCGCGCAAACCCCAAACACCACCTTGGCCATTGAATGGATTCCTACATAAGGGTCCTGAGGCTGCAAATCTTCCAGGGAGCAGACACCCCAATACGTGCACACCAACCCCCCTGCCCACCCACCAGACCTCTGCGATGGGGGGACAGCCGCGATGGGGCGTCCAGTCTGAGGGCTAGGAAAAAGAACAGGTGCCAGCAACAGCAGAGTATGCTGCGCTACCTCCTGTCGGGCGGGCACAAACGGCTGCGAGGAAGGGACACTGCAGAAGAATGGTGTGCATGACCACAGGAGGGTGGGGCAAGATGACTGCGGGGCTGTGGAGTTGTGGGAAACTAACACGGAATACAACGAGGGCTATATTCCCTAATTTATAACAGAGGGAATCTGGAAAGCTAGTATTCCACAGTAGGAAAGTGACCACTTGGGTTAAGTTAGAGATGAAGTCCAAGTACATTATCCTGCTTTAAATAGCGTTCCCATAGATTCTCCACTATGTTGCCTTAAAGTGAGCACATAGTTGATTGTAACTCCCTACAGAAGCAGACATCCTGTTGCTAACTCTTCCCACTGTCACCCAGGCCAACCCCCCACCCCCTTCATACCTTCCCTCAATGAGGTATTAGGTTTCCTCACCTGTGAGCTCAGGGACCTTACTGGAGATTCCACCCACCTTGTGAGTATGTAACTACGCAATATACATGTCCTATGCTGACCTACAAATATCCCGAGACTGTAAAGATTCGTTCCCCTCCTGCTTCCATGTGGGCCATCGAGAGGGGCTGAGGTGAACATGCTGCCATGACATGTGTCTGACGCCTTTATTTTACTCTCTCTCCTGTCTTTCCTATTCTCTGACTTTATTATGATCTTTCTATATTATAACTGTACAATTGCACCTACTGACACTTCAGTTGTTAGAGGCTGGCTTCCTCTGACTAGAAGTGAGGGTCAGCACAGAAACGAAGAGGGCCTTAACTGTGTGGGAACCTTGCTACAAGTAACCCAGACAGGGTCCAGACTGGCCTCCACTTCCTTTTCTGGAAAGCAGATGATAAAAGTGCCCATCTAAACTGTCACTGCACATAAGGAGGCAGGTCCTCCACATTCCAGAGGCCTCTGTCTACCTGGTTGCCAGGGCAGGTGGGGCACCTGTGCACAGGGTCTTGGGGAACTCAATGTAGCTCTCCAGTACCTATTCTCTTAAAGAACTGGGATTTCATCCTTGGGTTTTTTTATTCCAGATTCACAGTGTTTTTGTTTTAATTTCCTTGATGACTTAATGTCAAATTGTGAAGATTCCACCCCACCCCCACTCCAAGTATTGCATGAGGGCTGTGAAATTGGAGCAGGCAAGTCCTGAGTTATAAAAGCTTTAATTTATCTACCTCATGTATCTTTTATTTTTGTAGCCATAGTCTCCATTTCTTATTTGGATGAACCGTTGGCCCCTTCCCCAGACCCTGTCTTAAACCTGAGGATTCATGTGTTCATGGCAGCCGCTGGACCTTCGGGGTGTTTCTGTTGTTGCCTTTTTGTTTCTTTGACCCTCCTTTTAGTGCGTGTAATAATATAACGGTAATAAATGATTGATGAAGCGGTGCTCTCCTAGTATGAAGAAGGGGTGAAAGAGGAGACTCCAGGACAGAGCACACGCTCCCCTCGACGCAGAAATTGAAAATGTGCATCAAGACTGTTACCAAAAAAGTTCTTGTCCCTGTAGTTCTTGCACCTGACCTCTTAAGATCCAAAAAGCAAAAAAAAAAAAAAAAAGTGTTGCTTCTGGTTTTTTTTTTTCTTTTTTTGCCAAGATGGGCCTTTCCTTCTGTAATAGAAGTGACCAAGGTTTACACGGAGGGAGGGGGGGTGTTAAAGTGAACACCCCACAGGCTGTACAGCTTGATGATGCCTTGTGAATGTATGTGCTACAGCAAAGCCTGTAGTTGTGCCTGCTGATGCTGTCTGTCTGGAGAATAAACCTGGTTTGTTCTGCCCACCCCCCCCCACCAAAAAAAAAAGTTCCCATCTAAGTGGTTTGTCATAAAGATTAAGTGCAAAGCATTCAATAGTATTTGACACAGAAAAATGGTTCATAAATGTGGATATCACCCATCCATTGTATTAACAGACATCTTTTTTGTGGCTACTTTGTGCCAGGGAACTTTGTGCAAGGAATACTCCTATTCCCATCTGGGGCCCTCTGGAGACTCAAAGGGCTACTATCTGCCCTTGGTAAGAACACGCAGAGATGGCACTGGGTTAAAAAAAAATAGGGGCAGAGATTTTAGTTTTGCCGGCAAGCGAAGTTGGGGCAGTGAGGATTATTCTGCAGAAAAAGAAACCACCTCCCCTAACAGAGGTGAGGGAGGAGGGGCTTTTTCTACAAAGTTGAGAACAAACAAATCATACAGATTCATAAAATTGGGGAGGTATGCATTAATCATAAGGGATTGGGCTAGATCTAGGCAAGGATGTGACTGTGGGACCCCTCAACTTTGAAACAGGTCTAGCAGCTCAAAATAAAGTGGTTCCTTGTCATGCATTCCAAACATTCTGAGGTCAATTGGAGCTAAAACTCAGGTCTCCTGCACATACTTCAAATCAGGTTCTGACCAGTTAGCGCTAGCTTTAAAGGACAACATCCTAGGGGTTTATCAACTACTCAGTATCTCAAAGGGAACATCTTTTAAGAAGCTTAAAAGCCACTTATGAGGAGAGAGTCATGAAAGAGAGTGAAGGTTGTTGTGGCAGTTAAATTCGATATCAATTGAACCCTATGTTAAAGTGCAGTGGTGAAGTCCAACCTGTCAATCAGATCACAGCCTGATGAGGCCTGCTTGAGGGGGTGGCTCTGTCTATAAGAAAAACAGAAGGTACCTTCCTCTCTATAGCTCTTCGTCATCCACCTCTCTGGGATTCTGTGTCTGCCTCCAGGGCTGACCCCAGGTGAGCCATACGATGCTGGAAGCTGTCATCCACTGTCTTCTGACTGAGCTTGGATCTACATGACTCGGCACCTTCCAGCCTGTCTCCCTGTACCCCACTGAAGCTTTCTGCATCTTCTGCCTGCGGCTCTATGAGTCTAGAAGAGTGCTCGGGCTAGTGTCAGGCCCACGGACTTGAGTGGAACTGGGCTGGGCCACCTCGATATAAATTTACTCCTTGATGAAAAGCTCTTTCTGATACATACATGAGTCACAGGGGTGGGTTTTTATCCGTAGACAACCCCAACTAACACATTCATCTCTGCACCGATTTATCTGTGCAAATGGGCTTCAACTTAAAGGAGGGGGATTTTCCATTTCTAGCTTTCATACTTTACCCAGCTGTCTCAGCTCTTTGTTACTGACAAGGTTCAAAATCATGAAATACTGGTTCCTACTATAGGTTTTCCATCACTGGTCTGTCAGTTTGACATACTGTGGTGGCTTGTGTGTTGCTGTGATGCTGGAAGCTATGTCACTGGTGTTTCAAATGCCAGCAGGATCATCCAAAGTAAACCAGTTTCAGCAAAACTTCCAGACTAAAACCATTACAAAGAAGAAATCGGTAGCCCATGTCAGAGGAGTTAGCCATTGAAAATAGGGATAGCAGAGAAAGCTGTGCCTCATGAAAAGCAACAGGACATTGGCATCGACCGTGCAAGACGAGCCCACAGGTCTGAAGGCACTCAGAATAGGACTGAGGAAGACCTGCCTCCTCAAAGTAGAGTTGACTGTAATGATGCAGATGCGGGATATGCAGGATATTCATTTGCTGACGGGGAACAACCCAAAAGGAAAAGGAGCAGCTGTGAACATTGATTAATAGTTGAAACTTGGAATGTACAAATATAGATGTAGGGAAACTGGAAGTTGTCAAAATGAACAGGAACACATAAAGATCGCTATCTCGGGCATCAGAGAAGTGATGGGTGGGCATTGACCGCTTTGAATCAGAAAAGACACATTAAAGAGGAAAGGCATCGCACTCATCATCAAAAAGGACATTTCAACCTCTATCTTGTGGTGGATGATATCTATCCACATACAAGGAAACCCAGTCAGTTCAACTATTATTCCAATTTATGCACCAACCAATAAAGCTACTGGTACAGGAAATGAAGAATTTTCTAAATGTTTTCAGTCTGAAATTGCTCAAACATGCGATGAAGATGCATTGATTAATTATTAGTAACTGGAATGTAAACGTTGAAAACAAAGAAGGAAAGGTCAGAAAATATGGCCCCGGTGTTAGAAAAGAAGCTGCATATTCCACGAGGGAATTTTGCAAGACCAAGGATTTGTGTATTGCAACACATAGAGCGACTATACATGTGGACTTTTCCAGATGGAACACACAGAAATCAAATGGACGACATCTGTGGGCAGAGATGATGAAGAAGCTCCACATCAGCAGCTCAACGAAGCCAGAGGCCGACTGTGGAGCTGACCTCCAATTGCTCATATGTAACCTTTAGTTGAAGCTGAAGCAAAACAAACCCTCAAGAGCCAAAATATGATCTTGAGGCTATCCCACCCGAATTTCAAGAACAGATTGGACACTCTGCACACATCAGGAGACCTGATGAGCTGTGGGAGGACATCAAGGTCATCATACATGAAGAAAGCAAAACATCATTAAAAAGGTAAGAAAGAAAAGATCAAAGTGGATGTCAGACTCTGAAACTGGCTCTTAATTGTAGAGTAGCCAAGGCAAATGGAAAAATGATGAAGTCGAAGAATTGAACAGAAAACTTCAAAAGGGCAACTCAAGAAGATAAATTAAATCTTATAATGAAATGTGAAAAGCCCTAAAGTTAGAAAACAAAAAAAGAACACATTCAATATATCTTAAACTGAAAGAACTAAAAAACAAAATTCAAGTCTTGAGTTATAATATTGAAAATTTCCATGGACAAAATTTGAATGATGGGGCAATGAATGTACAAATGCGCTTTACACAACTGATGTGTGTATGGATTGTGATGAGTTGTATGAGCCCCTAATAAAATGATTTAAAGAAATAAAAGATCAAACTCCTGAATAATTAAAAAAAATTGAATGATGCAGGAAGCATCAAAAGATGGAAAGCATACAAAGAGTCATGGTACCAATAAGATTCGCCCATTTCAAGAGGTAGTCTATGAGCAAGAACCAGTGGTACTGAAGGAAGAAGTCCAAGGTGCAGTGATAGCATTGGCCAAAATCAATTCTCCAGGGACTGATGGAATACAATTGGAATGTTTCAACAAGCTGGTGAAACACTGGAAGCACTTACTCGTCTATGCCTGGGCATTTTTAAGACAGCTACTTGGCCAAGTGACAGGAAGACATCTGTTTTTGTACCAATTCCAAAGAAAGGTGACCCAACAGAATGCTCAAACTATAGGAAAACATTAATATCTCAGTTTTTTAAATCGTTTTATTCGGGGTTCATACAAAATTTTGCTGATCATTCAACAATGGTCATGGTTGTACTGTACATTGACAGGGAGCTGCCTAAAATCTAGCTGGATTCAGAAGAGGATGTGGGAAAGGGATATCATTGCTGATGTCAGGTGGATCTTGACTGAAAGCAGAGGCTACCAGAATGTTTACTTGTGTTTTATTGATTATGCAAAGGCACTCAGCTATGTGGATCATAGGAAACTACGAATAAGCTTGAGAAGAATGGGAATCCCAAAACACTTCACTGTGCTCCTGTGGAGTCTGTACATGAACCACAGTTATTTGAACAGAGTGAGGGAATACAGCCTGGTGTAAAAGACAATGCATCTGCATGGAATAAAACACTGCATGGTGCATCCGGGTTGTACCTTCTTACCATATTTCAGTTTCTATGTGAACAAATAATTAGACAATCTCTGTTATATGAAGAAGAATTCAGCATCAGGATGATGATTGGAAGAAGGCTACTAACAACCTCAAGTATGCAGATGGCACAGACTCACCTGCTGAAAGCGAGGAGGACTTGAAGCACTTGCTGATGAAGATTAAGGATTGCAGTCTTCACTATGGATTATAACTCAGTGTATGAAAAATTTCTCAAAACTGGACCAGTAGGTAACATCGTGATGATTAGAGAAGACTGGAGTGGTCAAGGAGTTCATCGTGCTTGGACCCACAATCAATGCTCAGGGAAGCAGCAGTGAGGAGACCACATGATGCAGTACATTGGAGAAATCTGCTGCACAAGAGCTCTTTAAAGGACTGACATACACAGATGCTACTTGGAGGCCCAAGATGGCCTCATATGCATGTGAAAGCTGGACACAGAAGAAGGACGAAGAATGGATACATTTGAATTATTGTGCTAGTAAAAAATATACTGAAAATACTATGCACTTCCAAAAGAACAAACACATCTATCTTGGACGAAGTACAGCCAGAATGCTCCTTAGAGGCAAGTATGGAGAGACTTCATCTCATGAACTTTGGACATTTTATTAGGAGAGACTAGTCCCTGGAGAGGAGGGGCAGAGAAAAAGAGGAAGACCCTTGACAAGATATATTGACACAATAAGGGCAACAACTGGCACAAACATAAGGGCAATTACGAGGATGGTACTGGACTTGGCAGTGTTTTGTTGTTGTATATAGAGTCACTGTGAGTTAGAAACGACTTGATGGCACCCAGTGGCATAACCACTACTAGTTGGGCTGCTAACTGCAAGATCAGCACTAACGACCAGCTGCTCTTAGGGATAAAGGTGAGGTTTTCTACTCTGATAAAGAATTACAATCTTGGAAACCCACAGTGGCAGTTCTACCCCATAGGGTCACTATCAGTCTGAATGGACTCAGTGGCATTGAGTTTGGATTTGTGGAACAGCAGCTGTATTTTATAAAAAGCTATGGCTAACATGAAGAAGAATGGGATATCAGAGCACTGTACAGAGACCAAGAGGCTGTCATTTGAACAGAACATGGGAATGCTGTGTGGCTTGACATCAGGAAAGGTGTGTGTTAGGGTTTGGTCTTTTCATCATAGTCAAATATATATATACACAGACTTTATATATATAGAGAGAAACTAATTTGAGAAGCTGAACTATATGAAGAATATAGCAGAGTCAGGACTTGTGGAAGGCTTATTAAGAACAACCTTCCATGTGCAGACGATACAATCTTGCTGAATACCAATCTAAGGCTGCAGATTTTAGTACGAATTGCAACTCCATGTAAGGAAAACAAAAATCCTAACCAATGAACCAATAGCAATAACCAACATCCTGATAAATGGAGAAAAGATTGAAGTCAAGATTTCACTGCTTGTCTCTACAATCAATGCTCATGGAAACAGCAGTCAAGAAATAGAACAATGTATCACTCTGAGCAGATCTGCTGCAGGAATGTCACTTTGAGGATTGAGTTGCACCTGACCCAAGTCACGGTATTTTCAGTTGCCTCGTGTGCATGGCAAAGTTGGACCATGAATTAAAAAGAGCGATGGGAGAATCTATGCATTCTATGATGTTGTTATGGAATAGAAAAACTAACAAAATCTATCTTGGAAGAAATAAAACCTGGATGTTCCTTAGAAGTGAATATTGCAAGATTTTGTTACATCTATTTTGTACATGTTTTCAGGAGAGACTAGTCCCTCAAAAGGACATTATGCTTGGTAAAGTAGAGAAGCGGTGAAAAAGAGGATCTCTCTCAAGGAAATGCATTGACACAGAGCTGTAACAATGGGCTCAAATAGGACACTTGTGCGATGGTGCAGGGACGGGCGGTGTTTTATTCCGCTCGACATGGGACGGCTATGAGTCGGAGCCCAATCTATAGAAACTAAGCAAAAACCGACCCAGTGCCATCAAATCATTCCAACTCACGGGCACCCCATAAAATGAACTTCAAGCCACTTCCGCTTTCATTGCCCCAAACTACCACCGGGGTCACCACCCGCAGCCGGAAGTTGCGCCGGTCGATCGCGGAAGGGGCGGGTCTCGCCGCGGGCGGGGCCGGAAGCGCGGCCACGTCCGTGCAGGCCGTGGTGGCGGCAGCTGAAGTGGGTCGGCGACCGCACCGGAACCTCGCGCGATGGCGGATTGGGCTCGAGGTGAGGGCGGGGACCAGAACCGAGGTGTCAGCGCGGGAAGGGCGCGCGCCGTGGCGGACAGAGCGGTGCTACGCGTCCTTCGGGGCCGCGCGAGGCGGCACTCGGGCGCTGAGGGTCCCGCCGCCGCCCCCGAGACCCTCCCGCGGGGTCGGTGCACTGGGACCGCCCACGGCCGTCTGCTCCCGGCGCTCCGTGCCCGCGTTTGTGAAGCGGGGTCGGCTGTCGATGCGTGAGGAGTCGTGGACGCAGACCCCTGGCGCGCTGGGTCCCCGTCTCCCAGCTCCGAGGGTCCCACGGACCTTGCTGATGCGTGTGGGGAGGGGAGTTTTCCTGGTCGCTATGTGGGTGGACTAAGTGTGTGGGGTCGCCTGTCACCGGCTCGCGGCCACCCTCATAGGAGAGGACCCAGGTTGGCCTTCATGTCTGGTGGACATGGGCACCTGCTGACCCTCTAGAGCCCCCGGTGTTGTCTAGCCCTTGACTGATTGGACAAGCCTGCCCCATAGTGCCCCTGGGCCATCCCAATGCATCCCACCTGTTGAACACTGAGCAGGGACATGTGTGCAGTGCCCTATGAGCTAACTTAGACTAGAATGTACCTGCTCAGCAGGACACAGGGAGAGGGCCCAGGAGGTTGGCCTGAGGGCCCGCTCCCTGACCGCTGGGCTCAGGACATCCATAGATGCTGCAGTCTCTTTCTCTCCAGCTCAGAGCCCTGGGGCCGTGGACGAGCTTCTGGACGTGGAAAACAAGCGGCTGGCAGACCACCTGGCCTCCAAAGTCACTCGGCTCAAGACGGTCTGTGCCTTCGGGCTAGGGGCCAGAGGGAGGAGGGGCACAACCAGCTGGGGTTGGGTTCCAGGCAGTGTACTGCCCTCGTCCCATCCACACTCATCTGCCATGCTAATCCTGGTTGACACCTGGTCTTGCTGGTAGCACCTGTGTATGGAAAGGTGGCTGGTCTCACAGGAGGGTGGGACTGCCCGGGACTCTGACCCTGACCTGAGCCTGCTCTTTCTCTGCCCTGACCAGTTGGCCCTGGACATCGACAGGGATGCAGAGGACCAGAACCGCTACCTGGACAGCGTGGTAGGGGCCTACAGCCTCCCCTGGCACAGCTGCCCCCTCCCCCACTCTGTAGTCATCCCTGATCCCCATACCTCTGCTCCTGCTCCCCTATGTTCAGCTCTGTCCCCTACCTTCCATCCCTGCCCCTCACCCTTGTCCCACCCCTGCTCCCTGTTCCCGGCCTCCCATGACGGGCAGCTCCCTCCAGGACTCAGATTTCTCGAGTGTGACGGGCCTGCTCACTGGCAGTGTGAAGCGCTTCTCAACGATGGCACGGTCCGGGCGTGACAACCGGAGGCTTCTGTGTGGCGTGGCCCTGGCCTTGCTCGTGGCCTTCTTCATCCTCTCCTACCTCCTGTCGAGGGCAAGGACGTGAAGAGCGGGCTTCGGGACTGGACGGACAGCCTGGCTGACACGCCGACCATGAGACACAGCAACTGGTCAGCCTGTGGAAGACACCCTCCCCTTGAGTGCAGCCCCTCCCCATGCGTGGCCTGAGGGGCCCAGAGTGGGTTAGACTCAGATGTGAGACCCTCTGTCCCCACGGAGACAGAACACTCTCTCTGCCCAGCCTGGGCCCCGGGGCAGGCAAGGTGAGCCGAGGATGAAGGAGCTAAAACTCAAGCATGGACACTTTTCCTTGTGGGGAGCTCTTCTGTTGGAGGGCAGCCAGGCCACTGCACAGAGCACTGCTCCACCAAAAACTCCCAGCTTCTTTTGAATACCCCCTGCCCTCTCAGTCTCTCCACCCACTCAGGTGGGCTGTGCCCAGACACCATGTACTCTCCCCCCCCCTACACACACACACACAGCCAGACCCAAGGTCATATGTCTTCCTGTGGGACACTGAGGACAGACCTCCAGTCAGTGCCCTGCTTGGCCTTGACCAGTCACTCAGCTTCCTAGTGACCTTACTACTCTGAGGACCTTGCTCTGGGGCCCAACCAGCCAGAAGGACTTTGCCTCAGAAGGCCACCGTGGTCCTTAGCACCAGTATCAGCCCCTCAATCCAGGAGAGTGACCCTTCCACCTTACCACCCTCCTTGTCATCTGCCATAGCACATCTGGACTAAAAGCCCAAAGCTATTTGAGTTCTTTCCACCTCCTTATTTATCTGAACGCAGTCATTTCCCTCCTCAGCCACGTCACGTGCTGCTCCTGTCATTGAGAGGATGGCCTACCCTGCCATTATAGGCCGAGGCTCCCTGTAGACTGGCCATCTACACTCCTGGCCTCTGTGCAGGCTCCCAGCCTCTCAGTCCCCTGGCCCCATCCACAGTGGGTGTGCAGGTGCTTTGGACTGTAGATTGTACCACACCAGTATGTAGGTACAGGTAGAGAGCAAAGAGAGTGCCTTAGGTGGATGCTTGCCTCTGAAGAAAGCCAGAGGTCTGGCAGCCAGGCTGTCCTCGCTGCCCTCCGGTCAAGGAACGTTCCTCCACTGTGAACAGGGACAGTAAGAGGCCTGTTGCCGAGCACTTTTCCATGGATGCTTCCCTTAGTCTTCCTCTGCTCATGCTGTTGGTACACAGACATGGCTGGCTGATAGCATTTGATCCCGGAGGGAACTGGGGCTTTGCTCCCAGACATGATCTGGGGTGTGTGGGTATGATTTGACCTTGCCTTGTGGATGAGACTTGACTGCTGATGCCGATTGCCAGTTTGCTCACACCTGATTTGTTACTCTGTGTGTAATAAACGCCTGCTGACGTCACCATTACAACAATGTCTGATCTGCGTTCTTTATGAATGGTCCTTGCCGAGGACATGAGGATATAATGGCCTTGTGGCCCAGGCTCACATTGACCAGTTCACGCAGTGCCCTGCAAACAGCAAGTCGAAGCCCAGTTCTCCTGCCACCCTGTCTGCACCTGGTCCGATCAGATGTGGGAACCAAATAGATTGCTGGCCTCGCCAATGCAGTGCAGAGTTCTCTGCAGTGGGGTTGCCCAGCCCTCTCTGAGGCCATCCACTACCGCCACCTCCGCCTCCTCACAGTCTTCCACCTCTCCCGAGGCCCAGGCTCGATTTTGTTTTCATATTTTGGAAAATAGATATGTTCCTATTGAGTTATTTCCCTCGTCATTGTCAAAAGGCCTGAGAACACTTTTGTCCAGACTCTGCATTTAAACATGCCAGTATGGGTATTTACAAAGCTGAGGGTCTTCAAAGGGTTTTAAAACACAGGCCAGGGGTTGGGATGTTGGCAGGAGCAGGTGTAGGGGCCAGTAGAGTTTGATATTTTAAATCTGTTTAACAGTCTGGCTCTAAAATAAAAGGCCTTACTCTGGTTCCAGGGAAAGGATCAGTGTTAGTGATTTAAGGTTGTTACTGCTGGTTTTAAGTGGCATGTGTCTTGTTTCTAATTTTGCTTCTCAACTCGCAGTCTGTTTCTTTTTGTATGAGACTTTTCTTGATATTTCTTTTATAACATTAGTCTGACAGAATATTTTTCATGTGATTAACTTATTGTAGTGTTTTCCAAAGTTATTCTTGTCATGAGATGTTTGACAGTTTCATTTACTTGTGTTTTATCGACTATGCGAAGGCATTCGACTCTTGTGCTCGTGGAAGCTGTGCATGGATCAGTTTGGGGAACGGAACAAGGACATTGTGCATGGTTTAAAATCAAGAAAACTGTGCAGCAGGGTTATACCCTTCCACCATGCTTATTCCATCTGTATGCTGAGTAAATCATCAGGAATATCATATGAAGAAGGTGGCTTCAGGATTGGAGGAAGGCTTATTGACAAACTGATCTGCAGATGACACAAGCTTGCTTGCTGAAAGTGAGGAGGACCTGAAGCACTTGCTGATGAAGATCAAGGATTGCAGCCTTCAGTGTGAATCGTAACTCAATGTAAAGGAAAAAATTCTTCACAGCAGGGCCAGTAGGTAACATTGTCATAAATGAAGAAAAGACCGAAGTTAAGGATATCATCTTGCTTGGATCCATAATCAGTGCTCATGGAAGCAGACATCAAGAGATCAAAGTCAAGTTGCATGGGGTAAATCTACTGCACAAGACCTCTTTAAACTGTTGAAAAGCAAAGTTGTTACTTTGAGGACTAAGGTGCACCTGACCCAAGCCATGGTATTCAAAGTTGCCTCATATGCATGTGAAGTTGGACATAAGAGTAAGACTGAAGCATTTAAATGGCGATGCTGGAGAAGAATGTTGAGAGGACCATGGACTGCTAAAAGAACAAAAAAATCTGTCTTGGAAGATGTCCAACCAGAGTGCTCCTTGGAGGCAAGGCTGGTGAGACTTCATCTCATGTACTTTGGACATGTGATCAGGAGAGATCAGTCCCTGGAAAGGAAACATCATGTTTGGGAAAGTAGAGACGCAGCAGAAGAGAGGAAGAAAACCCTGGAGCGATACAGAGTGGTTGCAATAATAGGCTCAAACGTATGAACGATCGTGGGCATGGCACATGACTGAGCGGTGCTCTGTTCTGTTGTACTTAAGGCCACAAGGAGTTGGAACAACAACATGACTCCATCGCTGCAGGCTGGAAACAGGATGGTGCTGGGATAGAAGGGGATCCCACAGGGCCCACTTCATGCAGCTTACCTGACCTTCAAGGCCTAACACACACCATTCCCATGTAATGATAGAGCATGTTAGGTTTGGTTCAAGCCAGATGTACCGCCCACCCGTGTACTGCCCACCTGGCTCAGGCTTGAATTGGCGCATGCCCCTTAGCCTTCATTGGCTTCCAACCTCCTGTAGGGGACCTTTAAGCACGAAGAGGAACAACCCCTATCCTGCTACCTAACCAGCACTGCTGTGCACGTGCAACTTAATAACCCTGTGGGTCAGACCACACCCAATTCATGATGAGCAGGTCAGGCCACATGGTGACTTAATGTGCCATAGCGAGGTATTCTGTCTCTACTAAGGCCCAGTAACAGGCTGAAAGGTGTTTCTCAAATAGAGCATAGTTGTCTGCAGAGGATGGCAGAGCTTAGCTCTTAAGTACAAAGTGTCTGCACAGTAAGGTGCCAATAAGGGCCCTCCAAAGACTTCTGACTGCATCTCTCCCTGCCACTGCCACTTCAGGCACCATTGGATCTGTTGGATCATGTGGCCCTAGTGCCACAACAGCCTAAACCTGTCACAGTGCCTTTACTGATTCTGAGTCCCACTCAAAACTAGTAGCATATCGAGTCACTTGACCAGTAGACTGGCATGGCACACCCAAATGAGGGATATGTTACCTCCCAAATCCAGAGAGCCCACTAATACCGCGCCTCCTCTTAGGTGGTGGGAGGCGCCAGGTGCAATAACACCCTTCACTTTAGTTGGAATATCTAGACATGCCCCACATCACTGGATTCCTCAGTGGACTGCACTGAGGTGGAAGACATACAGTCACTGTACCAATAAGAACTAGTCAGCACTCGACTAGTTCAGGAGGAGCATAGGAGCAAGAACCAACATTGCTGAAACAGGCTGAGGCCCCAGGAATGGATGGAATACCAATGAAAATGTTTCTACATGTTGGTTAAGCACTGGAAGTACTTGTCTGTGCCAGGAAAATTGAAAAGATCTATTTTTTAACCCATTCCAAAGAAAGGTGACCCAAAAGAATGCTCAAACTATATGAAAACATCGTTAACACTTAAGCAACAATTTGCTGATCACTCAACAATATTTGCAGCAGTGTATTGTGGGATCCAGACCCACGGGTCCTTCAGAGCAGTGTGTGCAATTAAGGAAAATAAGGAAGAGAGAAAAGATGGGTACAGGGGCTCACCTCTGATCTTGGAATAAGACAGCGAGTGTATTGAAAGGTGAGTATATATAGTAGTGAGGCATGCAAGCCTCCATCAGGCACATACACAAGAGACTGGGCAAAGTGTGAATCTGAGATATCCTGAGTTTCTTTGGAGGGTACTTCCTGATAAATTTTGGGCATCTAAGAGACAAAGGAGTAGTTGTCTCCTAGTGTGTAGGGACAAAGGGACCCTGACAGCTCTTAAAGATAGGCATCTACTAGCTGACTAACGGGGAATCAGGTGCCTATAGGGGAAAACTTTGTCTGGGGAAAGTGTATTGTCAGTTCCATCTATATTCCTGAGAATGGAGGTTTTTCCTCTTAACAGTGGTTCTCAACCTGTAGGTCGTGACCCCTTTGTGGGTCAAACAATACTTTCACTGGGATCGCCTAAGACCACTGGAAAACATGTTTCCGATGGCCTTAGGAACCGAGACAACACTCCTCTCTCCGTCTCCAGGTGGGTCCGCCCACATGCAGATATACCCACATAGGAGTACCCAGCGTGATGACATCATCGTGCCAACCCCATCACATACACCCCATACAAATACAGGTGTATGTGACAGGGTTGGCGCCTAATGTACTTATGTGGACCAGTCACACGTGTGTAGAGAGCAGCTGCTGTGTAGAAAGCAATTGATGTGTAGAAAGCAGCTACTCTGTTAAAAGCAGCTACTGCGTTGAAAGCAGCAGTATTGGAGGTAAAACGACACTTCGTGAATTATAATTACTGGGTAAATGTGAAATCATGTAGTGTAAAATCAACTACTGGCAAAAAAAAATCTGTACCATGGGAACTTAATCTGGATGCTGAATGGTTTTTTTATATTCAGCTCTGGTTGATGTGTATACTGCCCCCTTGTGATAGTAACGGGTATGTAAAAAACAACCCAGAGAATGGTAAATCACAGAAAACTTTAATAAACTGTATTGACTGAACTGTACCATGTGTGTTAGACAGGGTTCTCTAGAGAGATAAAACCAAATTGCTGATAATTTAATATATTTATTTATAAAGATAATTAGATATATAACAAGAAATGAACTGTTAAATTATATACAGAAAAAATATATAATACAAGAAATGAACAGTTATATTATAAAGCAATACAAATGGCTCAGTGCAACTCCCTCCCGTGAGAGAGAGTTGTGAGACACTTGCAGTCCTTGAAGTATAGTCTGCTGCCAGATCTTCCTCTATTTATAGAGAGAGCTAGGCTATCTCAGCACAGCAGCCAATCACAAGGCAGGTCACCAACTGCCAGCCAGGTCACCAACCGGCAGTCCTCGGCTCCAGAGATGTCTTAAAAGGACCTCAACTTACAGGGACACAGTCCACAGGCTAGGCGTCCCACAGGTAGTGTAGCCTGTAAACTGAGGCACAGAACAAACACACTGGTTCTATGATTAAAGAGCAAGAGACAAGAAAGGTGAGGCTCACCAAGCCATTTATCTCACCGCCCTTCAGTTAATCCCACTTGTGTTTATCAGCCAGGCTGGCACAATAAATTATCTCAATATGTATCATCTTTTGTATTATTAAAGCTATTGTTATATATTATTTTTATTAGCAAACCATCCCATGACAATGGATCGTGTAGAGAAGAATGTTAAGAAAAGAAAATGTAGTGAGGATTTTTTTTTTTACGGTATGGTTTTACTTCAATAATTACAGCAGGAATTAAGAAAGCGCAATGTGTTATTTGTTGTGAAGTTCTATCTATCAGCCAAATCTATGAAGCTGAACAAACTAAAATGCCATTTTGATAGCAAGCATCCGAGCTTTGCCGGCAAGGATACTAGCTCTTTTAGAAGCAAAGCTGATGGACTCAAGAAAGCCAGACTTGACACGGGTGGCAAGTACCACAAACAAAACGTAGCAGCCACTGAAGCTTCATATTTGGTGGCACTCAGAATCGCCAGAGCTATGAAACCT